TTAAGAGCACTGGCTGCTCTTAACCAACAGATTTGGTTCCCAACACCCACATGGCACTTAACAACTGTCTGTAACTCCAGTTCCAGGGATCCGACACCCTCTTCTGACTTCCAAGGGTGTTGTGCAACACAGGTGCACTTACATACATGTAGGCAATACACTCATACACATAAAATAAAAATAATAAAATATTTAAAAAAATTTTTCAAAGCCATAGTGTAATGGTGAGTTGAGAGGAACTCATTTTTAAATGGACAGACACTTAAAACTGATAAGAGAAAGGGCTGGGGACTAGCTCAGTGGGTAGTGTTTGCCTAGCATGCACAAAGCCCCAGGACCAATCCCTAGTACCAAATAAAACCAGAAAAGGTAGTATACACCTGTAACCTTGGTACTTGGGAGGTAGAATCAAGATCAGAAGTTCAAGGTCACCCTCAACACACAGTGAGTTTGAGGTCAGCCTAGGAGCTATGATTCCTTGTCTCAAAAACAATAACAGACAGATAATACAACAGCAATGAAGTAATTCCACAAGCAACAATTCGAGAAAGAACAAACCCAGTCAATCAATTAGCTCACAGTGCCCAGCAAAGAACTGTAAATTAAAAAACAGTGAGGTCACTTCTCATCTATCAGATTAGCAAAAATTAAAAACAGAATAACCCCCACTGTGGAGGGGAAGCAGGAAATAATACTGTCAGACATTACTAAAATGTGAACCCAACAGGCTGGGCATTGTGGTGCCTGCCTTTAATCCCAGTACTCTGGAGACACAGGCAGGCAGGCCTCTGTAAATTCAAAGCTAGCCTTGTCTACATAGTGAGTTCCAGACCAGCTGGGACTACAGGGAGACCCTGTCTCAGAAAGAAAAAAAAAAGTGAACACCACAGCATTTTAGGAAAGCAAATCTGGTAGCAGCTATTAAAATTTAAAATCTGGGGCTGGAAAGATGCCTCAGTGATTAAGAGCACTGGCTGCTCTTGCAGAGAATCCTGGTTTGGGTCCCAGCTTACAAATGGCAGCTAACAACCATCAGTAACTCCAGTTCCAGGGGATCCAATGACCTCTTCTGGCCTCCTCAGGCATTGAGTGCACATAGTATGCTTCATCTATGCAGGCAAAACACTCATACATAGATATAATAAAAATAAATAAATAAAGCCAGGCGTGGTGGCACATGCCTTTAAATCCCAGCACTTGGGAGGCAGAGGCAGGTGGATCTCTGTGAGTTCAAGGCCAGCCTGGTCTATATAGTGAGTTCAAGGCCAGCCTGATCTACATAGTGAATTTCAGGCCAGCTGGGGCTATAGGGTGACCCTGTCTCAAAAAGACAAAAAATTAATTATTAATTAATTAATTAATCAAAATCCTTCTTTCCTTGGAAAATACACTATACAATTAATATAGAGGTATGAGTAATCTTTAACAGACATAAACTAGTGCACATCTTGTTTTAGTCTGCTTTCAATTATTGTGATAAAAACACTGACCAAAAACAACTTGAGGAAGAAAGGATTTATTTCACATCTCCAGGGTCACAGTTCATCACTGAGGGAGCCCAAGGTAGGAACTCAAGGCAGGAACCTGAGACACAGACCACAGAAGTACACTGTTTACTGGCTTACTCCCCTGGCCCATGCTCAGTCTGCTTTCTTATACAATACAGAACCTGCCCAGGGGTGGCACTACCCACAGTGGGCTGGGCCCTTTCACATCACTCAACAATTAAGAAAGTGCCCTACAGACATAGTCACAGGCCAGCCCAACAGAGGAAATTCCCCAGTTGAGGTTCCTTTTTTTCTGGTGTGTCAAGTTGACAACTAAAGCTATCCAGCACATACCTGATTCCATTTAGATGACACTGAAAACAGACACAGCTCACATATGTTGTCACAAAGCACTCATTTCCAGACACTTCCTCCTTTCCCACAAGTAAGTACTATCAGGACTTAATTCGCCATTAGCCAGGTCTACCTGGTTTGGAGCTTTATATAAGTGAAACCATATTATATTGTATGCATTGTTTTTTGCCTGGCTTCTTTGGCTCTGGATGAGAACATAAGAGGGCTCTATGGTGCTGGTAATGTTCTGTTTCATAACCTAAGCGCTAGGTACATAGGTATATTCATGTTATGAATATTTATTAGGCTGCATACTCATGATTTGCATAATGTTCTATATGTATAATTACAGTTTCATAGAAATATTTAGAAAAAAATCCGCTTTCCCTAGTAATAATCTCATTCATGGAAAACAAGCATCAGCCATGGGCATTGAAGCATCAAACCATGTTTGTTACAGCCTGTAGCACCGGTAAGACCTGGAAACCTAGTAAATGCCCATTGGATAAAATATTGTACAGCATTAAAAAGAAGGAAATAGGGCTAGGGCTAGCTCAGTGGTAGAGCCCTTGCCTAGCTATCATGTGCAAGGTATGAGGTCTTGTTAGATGTTCAGAACTGTAAGAATAAAATAAAACTAAAAAAAAAAAAAAAAAAAATGAGATAGCCTGTTCCACACAACTAAGAGAAACTCCATGCATTTGTTAAGAAAGCAAAATGCAGAGAAATGTTTGTATTGTGTTCTAACTTTTAAAAAATTACACTCTCAAAAGAAATAAAGACAATGACTCCCTCAAAAATAAAAATGAAGTCCAGCTGTGATACGGCACAACTGTATCCCAGCACTTGGGAGGTAGAGGTAGGAGAATCAGAAGTTCAAGGTTATCCTTGGCTACATAGGGAGTTTGAAGCCAGTCTGAGCTACATGAGACTCTGTCTCAACAAAACAATAAAAACAAAAATCATGTGTGTGATGTGGACCCAGGCATGCAAAGCATAAAGAGATGGGGAAGAGTCACCATAACATAACATGAATGGTAACTACTTTGGGGGTTGTGGGTAATTTTTACTCTTATTTTTATGATTACATGATATAATGACTATATACTTTTTCTACAATCAAGGGGAAAGAAAGCTGTTTTCATTGTCGGGGGAAGTACTGGCAGGTAGCAGTCTCTAGGGGATCTGATTTAATGAGCACACAGGTCGATATTTAATTAACATATCAATTGCTGGCATGTCAACTAATGTTTTCCTAAATTCTTGAAGTGTGCTTTCTCTTAAGCAGCCAAACTGTCATCTGAAACATTGTTTACAATTTCCCCATTTAACAATGCCAAGGCTGGGACAGGACTGAAGAAATTTTACTCAAGTGTATCAAATGATTCTCTTGCTCTGCCCTCTATGTCTGACAACCTCTGAACCCCTGTGCCAGCTGCCTCTAAACTTTTTAGACATTTTTTTTCTTTTGAAATGGTGTGTATGTACATAGGGTTCTATGTGCCAGTGTGCATGCAGACCAGAAGTCACCATCAGTGCTGTTCCTCTGGAGCCTGCCACCTGTGATTTTAAGACCAGGGCTCTCACTGTGACCTGGAGATCACAACTAGGCTAGGCTGACCTTCCAGCGCCACCTGTCTCTGGCTCCTCAGTGCTGGCATTACAACCAAATACCACCATTATGGGCTTTTTATAAGGGTGCTGGGATCAAACTCATATTGATCAATTAGGTCCTCATGTTTGCCAGGCAGTTTACTGACTGATCATCTCTCTGTACTAGTTCTTAAAATCTACAAGTTATAGACCCTCTATCACCCTTTGGTTCCCAGCACTGCATAAACCCAGTGTAGTGCTGTGGGCCTGTAATCCCAGCACTTGGGAAGTAGAGGCAGGAGGATCAGAGTCATCCTCAGCTACATTTTGTTTAAGGTCATCCTCAGCTACATTTTGAGTTCAAGTCCAGCCTGGATGTAAGACCATGTCTCAAAAATAAAATTAAAAAAAAAATCTTCTATCTTGCACTCGGGAAGCAAAGGCAGGAGGTTCAAGAGTTAAAAGTCCATTGTAGATGCTAAATAAACTAATTTAAGAGTATGGTGGTAGTCCTAGCTATTTAGGCAGTAAAGCAGGATTGTTTATACAAGAACATCAGACTGGGTAACAGAAGGAAAACTGGGTCAGACATTTGTTCTTTGTTTACTTAAATTGGTAAGCATTTTCTATGTGTGTTTTGCCATTTCTAGTCACCTTGCTCTGGCAAGCATTGATTGACCTTTTCTCCTGCCTCCCGCGGTCTGCTGCGTTCAGGAGTGGCAGTGTGTTTAGTCCAGTCCAGTGTTGTTCTTGAGCGTGCCAGAAACCAGAAGTGTCGGCTGGGTAGGCAAAAACTGGGCTTTTCTCTCTTGACGTTTCCTCAGCTTTGCTGGATATCTAGCTGGTGGCTTTAAACTGATCCCAGAGAACTAGGCACCAGATGCTTAACTGCAAGAAGATGCCATTGATGGGGATGGGGAGTGGAGAGAGGGCAGAGCTGCCAGGACTTGGCAGAGAACAGCACCCTGCCAAGGTCTGATGGGTCTCCAAGAATGGAGGTGCAGAAGTAGCAGCAGCACGGAACTTGCTGAAAATTCAAATTCTCAGGTGTTCCCCGGGGGTGGGAACTAGCACTCTGTTTAGTCTTCCAGGAGATTCTGAGGCTAGAGTTCGAGAATCACGACTCCTAGCGGAGGGCCGAGAGTACTTTGGATGAGAGGGACAGAGAGGCAAGCCGGCCTTGTGAAGGCCCTTGGAGCCAGGCAAAGGGTCAGGCTCCGTTCTCAAGGGCGACCTGCAGGTTTTAGGTGGTACTCACACACCTCTCCCAGAATTCTTGGAGCAGAGTTTACCCGCGGCCTGCAGAAGTTCCCCACACCTGGCGACACCGGGCATCAGAGCTGTCGGGCGGGGGGGCAGGGGGGGAGTAGGGCAGACCCTCCGCACCCCAGTACCAGGCTTCAGCCGCTAGGGGTGGGCGATCCCACACGTCTGCACTCCAGGGAGAAGTGGAAGGCCGGAGGACGCCAACCCGAGGGGCGGGGCGGAAGGCCGATCCACTGCCCCACGAGGGCGGATCTGCTTTAGAGCCCGCCCTCGCCCCACCTCCCTGGGCGGAGCGTGGGGGGTGTCTCGGGCCCTGCGCCCGTGCGCACGCTCGCGGCGGGTTTGCAGGGCCGGACGCGCGCTCCGCGTCCCGTGCAGGAAGATGGTGGCGAGCGCGCGGGTGCAGAAGCTGGTGCGGCGCTACAAGCTGGCGATCGCCACCGCGCTGGCCATCCTGCTGCTGCAGGGCCTAGTCGTGTGGAGCTTCAGCGGCCTGGAGGAGGACGAGCCGGGCGAGGTGCTCCGACGGCCGCGCGGGCGGGCAGGCCGGGCGCGGGGGCGCGCGGGGTCCTGGCGGGGCTCCGGGCGGCCCCGGCCAGGCAAGTGGGGCATAGGCTGCGTGCGTGCGGGGCGCAGGAGGCCTCCTGGATGGACCCCGGCCCCTGGCCCCTGGCGCTCCCTTCCCAGGCCGGCCTGGGCGGGTTGCGCGCGGGAGCGGTGCATGACTCGGAGGCCCAGACGGTGGGCGGACTGGGGGCCCGGGCGGGAAGAGCGGGTCATGGTGGGGTGGTCTCCGCTCGGAGGAGCGATGAAGGTCAGGTGGGGGAGCGGAGCTGGGAAGGCAGGACTGGGCCCAAGCCTGTTCCGAGGTGGGGAGCCCCAGGCCAAACTTTCTGAAGTTGGGAGGGGGCGGGGGTATGCGCGCGGTGGGCGGAGGAGCGGGGGCCGAGGGACCCCGGGCATCGATGTCCAGCTGCGCCAGAGAGGCAGCGACTGGTGGTGAAGTGGAGCTCAGGGGTAGAGCCTGTAACAAAGTATATATCTGGGAATAGAGTGAACAGGAGTGACCCCGAGGGAGAAGACTGGTGTCCTCAGGCGTGGCTTTCTCTGGCTTTCTCTGCCTCGTTGAAGAACCCGGGTGTATCTTCAAGAGCAGATAGGAGGGGAAGTGAGCTGTTGAGTTGGCCTCAGGACATTAAGGAAGGGGGAGGGAGCCCTCTCTGGCTCTAAAAGAATGGGGACAGCAGCAGCAGATTGTCGCCAAGGTCTTCCTCACTCTTGGCAGGTGCTTTCAGTTGTGTGCCCAGACACATCCCCCTAGTGAGTGTGGTTAGGAGGGGTCCGGTGGGGTCTGGAAAGGTGGAGAGGACTAGCCAAAGCATAGTCCTAAACTGTGACCAGAGGTCAGGGGCTCTTGTCCTCAGGCTCGCTTGTTTGGGTGCCTCCAGGCCTCTGGGAGAGAGGCCCGGTGCTTGTGCTTGTCACATCCTCTTGGGCTTCACCTGACAGAGATGGCAGGAAGCAGGGAAGTCTCCTCTTGCACCTCAGCATTCCCAAAGGCCTGGTGTAGAGCCTAGAAGAAGAGCTGCCCTGGTGGTTTCAGGGGGAACCAAGAGGCTGAGATGGTGAGGGGAGCAGGAACAGATTGACATGGTACCATGTCTCCAAAAGGAGCTGAGGCCAGCCATGGGGGAAAGCTAGCGCTGTGACTTCTTGAAGGGAGTGAACTTGTTCTTGTGGGGCAAAGAGGAGAGAGCTTCAGGGCAGTGTAAGAAGTCTTAATTGGGACATCTCAGGCAGAGTGGGCTGCAGAGGCAGGTGAGGAGCCCTCTGACCCCTTGTATGTGAGGGAGGCTGGTGAGCACTCAGGATGGCCTGTCAAAGCCTTCTTGTGGAAGTAAATTCCCAGTGCGGAGTGGTCTGAGGCAGTCCTGCTGCTCTGCCCACAGCCTAGGGTGGAGCTCTGGAGGGAACTGGGAGTTGGGATCCCCCTACTCCCATACCTCCTGCCTGACTGAAGCTGAGAAAGGGATCCTGGACTAGAATGGAGAAAGGTCCCCAGTAGTCTAAATGTTATGGAGTTCTGACAACCACCTCCCCAGACATGGGGGTTGCCGGCAGTATAGTGCAGTGCTGGGGAAGGTGGGCATGGAAGTGAGACAAGTCTCCCCCATCCTGTCCCAGCATTGCCACCAAGCAGACCACCATGAGTCACCTCTCTGTTCCAATGCGGTAATAGTGGCACCAGTTTTGCTGGGCTGATAGTAAAAATGAAGTGAAGCAATATCTGTGAGTGTGTGCAGGAGTTCCCAGCAGATAGCCTGTCAGTACATAACTCACTCAGCATTGCACCCTGGGAGGGTTTCAGTCAGTCATTCAGTCAGCATGCACTTACTAAGTCCTCATACCAGGCACTGTGCTCAACACTAGGAATACAGAAATAAAGAATAAATGAGATACTGGCCCTCATGGGCAGTCAGTCTATAGGGAGAGACAGAGAAAAGGAAGGTAGAATAACAAGGGGGCTTAGATTGGGAGGCTGGGAAAGGCTTCCTTCGGGACGAGGTGGGCAGGCAGGTTTGAGCAGAAGCCTTTCAGGAGAGTGAGCTGAACCTGAAGATCCTCAGGTAATAGAGAGGAAGGTGGGGCACTTTCCCCAATGGTTTGTCCTGCATGGCCAAAGAGATCACTATAAGGGGCTCCAGTCGGTTTTATTCTAAGTGCAGTGGGGCAGCGGGAGCCAATGTGCATTTAAGAAAAGCACTCAGCTGCCTATGGAGGGGTGAGAGTGGATACCTGGGATGATCACTAATCTCGAAAGAGTCACTTGATAGTATTCAGAGCTTTCACAAACATCCTTTTACCACTTGTTTTAAATGCAGTCTGAGAAGTCTGAGGAGGTGGGGTGTGGGGTGAGCATTTCTGTGTTCACTGTCTTTGTGGCTCAGAGGAGTTCAAGGACTCTTAGAGTCAGGAAGTGGCAGAAAACTTTACATGCCTCCTTGCCAGGGAGGAGGGGGCCTCTGAAGCCAGAATGCATCCAACCAGAGGACCAGTTCCTGCCCTCTGTAATTAGAGCGCACCCTGATCTCAGAGAGGCATAGCCTGGAGCTCTATGACATGCCTGGGAGGGGTCAAGGGTGGGGACTGACTGCCCACCCAGCAGGACCTTTTTGCTTCTCCACTGCTGCCTTCTGGTCCCTAGCCTCCTCTAGGATTGTCCTTCTCAGAGTCAGACAGCTCTGCTGCAGTGCAAGGCACCAACATGCCTGTTTCCTCCCACATCCTGTCCCCCACCACAGCTAACTTGGCTCTGTGCCCTCTTGCCCTGCCCTCCTGACCAGCTTCCCAATGCACTGGATACAGGCTTTGACCCCTAGAACTCACACCTCCCTCCATTTGTACCCACCTAAGCTTTGGAATTTCCTTCCCTGCTCACTATGTGTCTGGGTCAGATGCTACCAGCTCTGTGGGCTTCCCAGCCCAGGGTGACTTACTCAACATGGGCACAGGACAGGGTCTGCTGCCTCTACTCAAGTGTCTCAGATGGGGATGGATACCTCTTCTCATTGGGTATCTTAAGATATCAGGGCCATCTGGGTACTGGACACAGGCCTGGGTACTATGGAGTAGGGGTAGGATTCTCTCCTGGAGGTGGCTCGCAGGCTTCTCCCATGCTCCTGTGGTGGGGGCGGGGGCAGGGAGAACCTAACTTTGGGTCCCACTTGGAGTCTACCATATCTGAGGGCCTGAGCCTTGGCCTCATATTGGCTGTTTCTGCCTCACTTCCCAAGATGGCAACTTTTAGTGAACACTACACCTTCACCAAGACTTTACTCATTTATTTGGTCAGTATTTAACTGATTTCTATATGCTCTCCTGAGCTCTAAGAATATGTCAGTGAATAAACCAGCAAAACTTGTCCCTGTGGAGCTTACAGCCATGTGAGGAACAGACAGAAAAGTAGGATAAAGGTGGCACACGCCTTTAATCCCAGCACTTGGGAGGCAGAGGCAGGCGGATCTCTGTGAGTTCAAGGCCAGCCTGGTCTACATAGTGAGTTCCAGGACAGCTGGGGCTACAGGGAGACCCTGTCTCAAAAAGACCAAAAAACAAAACAAAACAAACAAACAAAAAACCCCAAATGGTTCAGTGGCAGAAGAAGTCATGTTTCTTTTTTAAAATTTTATCTTTTTTTAATTATATGTGTATATCTGTATGTGTGGCAACACTTGTGTCATGGCAGTTATGTGGAAGTCAGAGGAAAACTTGTGGGAGTTGGTTCTCTCCTTCCACCCTGTGAGTCCCAGAATCAAACTCAGGGCCATTAGACTTGGCAGCAGGTGCCTTTACCTACTGAACCATCTTGCTGGCCCAAGATCATATTTCTGTGGAGAAAGGAAAGCAGATGAGGGAGAACTGGAGTTTTCGGTACAGTGACCAAGGCAGACCTTTCCGAGAAGACACTATCTGAGCAAAGATTTGAACAAGCAAGGGATGAGCTGTTGGGCGTCTGGGGAGGATACCCAGGTCTAGGGCATGGCTAGCACAGAGCTGGAGCCAGGCATGCCAGGTAGGAAGAAGGGATGCTACATAGGCTGTGGGGACAGGGTAAGAATGAGGCAAAGGGGTCCATAGAAGAGGTCAGAGAGGGCAAGGATGGAGGAAGGGACAGCTACTCTAGATCCTGAGAAAGGAACCCACTGGAAGGTTCAATCACGGGATGTGATGAGAAGAGACTGCAGAAGGGACAAGAGCTTGAGCTGGGGTATCAAGGAATCTAGGGGCAGTTGGGGAGCTAGTGAGATACTATGTGTGTATTTTCTTTTCTAAAATGTTTTATTTTATTAATACTATTTATTAATACCATGCCCGTGGAGGTCAGAAGAGGGCATCAGAGCCCCTGGAACTGGAGTTACATATGGTTGTTAGCTACCATGTGGTTGCTAGGAACTGAACCCCAGTCCTCTGCAAGAGCAGCCAGTGCTCTTAACTGCTGAGCCATCTCTCCAGCCCCTCTGTGTGTATTTTCAAGGATCTATTATGGGTTGAATGAGAATATGAGGGAAAGAGAAGAATCAAAGTTGTGTCCAGGGCTGGGGTGTGTAACTCAGTGGTGTAGTGCTTGCCTAGTAACCTAAGGCCCTCTGCCTCATTCCCAGTGCTGTCTCTGTGCCCCTCAGAAGAAGAAAGTTGACTCCCGATGTATTTGGCTTAAACCACATAGGGTTGTCATTTGTAGAGATGTGAAGAATGAGGGAGCAGTAGGTGAGGGGAGAATAGCAGGCATTTGCACTTGGACTTGAGGAGTCTGAGGACCTTAAGTTCCAAAAGGAGATGGCAAGGAGGCTGCTTGTTCAGTGCCTAAAGGTTGAAGGGAGGTTTCCAGACCAGAGGGATGTGGATGGTGTGAAGAAAGCAAGAAACTGAGTGAGATCACTGAGAAACAAAGGCTGGGGTCTGAGAACAGGTCCCGGGATCTGCCTGGGGAGCCAGGAGACTATTGAGGCCCTGGATGGGAGGGTGCTTACAGGGAGCAAGGCACATATCCATAGGACTTAGCATGAAGACTGCAAGCTGGGAGTGAGGTGAGGCTGATGTGGACGGTGAGAGGAAAAGGACAATCAGGAGATGTCTTCTTAAGCTGCAGCCCCTCACATCTTATCTCATTTGATCCTCACTCTCCCAGGTGAGGGACAATGCTTTGAAAAGTGGAGTGGCTGCTGGTGAGGTAGCAGAGCTGAGCCACAGCACTCAGGACAACCTGTCCCTGTCCCTTCTTGCTCACAAACACTGGCCAGATGTCCCCCATGTGTCCATCAGGCCCTCGGGAGATGGTCTGACATAGTGCCCCTTGAGGAGTTCATTGTCTGCTAGAGGAACATCTGGGGTTTCAGAGCTCAGCACATCCCATGTGGGGACAAACAATCGCTGCCAGCCTGGGGACTGATCTTAAAGAATGGGTAGGCTAAGCAAGGAGGGAAGATGGGGAGCAGAGAGGAGAGCAAGTTGAGCTGAACAGGCTATTTGGGGGAAGTGCTTGGTTGGAGAAGATGCAGCAGGTGCCAAAGCACTCAAAGCCAGGAAGTAGGGGTGCAGTAAGCAGTGTGGGGGGCTTCAGAATCTCCTTGAGATATCCTGCTGCAAGTACAGAGGTTGACACCCTCCAGCTGTGGGCTTGTGGTTGGACCTCAGATTTCTGGCCAGGGTCTAATTGCCATGGTAGCTCAAGAGCTCAATGTCCACAGGCAGTCATGTGGGAGAGCTCATTAAGCTGGCCACACCTCCTCAGCTGCACTGGGGTTGCTGTGCCTGCTGCCTCTCTCCTGGCCTGGCTGTCAGACTGGCTTTGTGTCTGGAGCTTTTCTCTGACAGCTTCTACCTGGCTGGCTTTCCAAACTATTGTCTAAAGGTGTACCCTGACTACTTTTTAGGGGATTCATCCATTACTGGGGGTCTCAGGCGTCATCTCTACCCTTCCCTCCTGAGGAAATCCCCTTCACTCTGTTGTGGCCTCAGTATTCCCACATGAAAAACTTTAGTGCATACAATGTTTGGATGCTCCTGGAGGTATCTTAATGCTGTATCTTCCCAGTCAGCCCCTGGTGGGAGGTGTGGGTCTTAGCTGGACACTCCTGGGTCCCCTGTAGGGTCTGTGCTCCCTTTCTCTGGAGTAGGCATGGGCATGTATTTAAAAAAAAAATTTTAATGGAAGTGTAGTGCCATGTGATCTGAGATCTAGAGGGCATGAGGGGTGTGGTGGGGTGATATGGGGAGGGTTGAAGCTACCTCAGCCAACCTGCCCAGGAGTGTTGCTATCTGTGCAGAGTTGAGTGAACAAGACTTCCCTAGGTAAAGGCTGGATAGGAGCTTTTAGATCTGAAGGTGCCCTGGCCAAGATGGAGCTCAAGGGGTGGGAAGAGATGAGCAACTAACCATTGCCTCTGCTTGTCTTTTACAGAAAGGAAGGCAGAGAAAGCCGCGACCATTGGACCCTGGCGAAGGCTCTAAGGACACAGACAGCTCTGCAGGGCGGCGGGGCAGCACTGGTAGAAGGCATGGGCGCTGGCGGGGCCGAGCTGAGAGCCCAGGTGTGCCTGTGGCCAAGGTGGTGCGGGCAGTTACCAGCCGGCACAGAGCCAGCCGGCGTGTCCCACCTGCCCCGCCCCCTGAGGCTCCAGGCCGCCAGAATCTGAGCGGGGCAGCAGCTGGGGAGGCACTGGTAGGGGCTGCTGGCTTCCCGCCACATGGAGACACAGGAAGTGTGGAGGGTGCCCCCCAGCCTACGGACAACAGCTTCACCCCAAAGTGTGAAATTGTGGGCAAGGATGCGCTGTCAGCACTGGCCCGGGCCAGCACCAAGCAGTGTCAGCAGGAGATTGCCAACGTGGTGTGCCTGCACCAAGCTGGGAGCCTCATGCCCAAGGCTGTGCCCCGGCACTGCCAGCTGGCTGGTGAGGGTCTGGGGTACTCTGGCCCTTCCTGGGCATGGATGGGAGGTGATGTGGCTCAGCTCTTCAAGCTCAGTTGCCAGATTGGGGGCTGGGACTGAAGGCTCTGAGCCTGAACTTCTTTCACTGAAAGGCAGGCAACCCTTTTCCCATCTCAATCCTGCCTTGTTGCCTGGGGTAGGCCTCACTGATGCCCCTGTTCACTCCACTCAGGCAAGATGAGTCCTGGCATCCAGTGGGAAGAGGTTCGGGCCCAGCAGCCTGTGGATGGCCCCCCAGTACGCATCGCCTACATGCTGGTGGTTCATGGACGTGCCATTCGCCAGCTGAAGCGTCTTCTCAAGGCTGTCTATCATGAGCAGCATTTCTTTTATATCCATGTGGACAAGGTACTGGGGGCTGAAAGGCCTGGGGGGTTTGGTTGAGCAAAGCAGAGACTCTGAAGGTTGCAGGCAGGGTTTCACAGCTGGCTCACATACCCTAAAGAAAGGGGAGGTGAGGTCTAGAATGGTCAGGCAGCTGGCATAAGGTGGCATGGCCCGTTAGGCACTGGAGTCCTGCCACTTTCTGTCTCCGTTCTGTGTCATTTGTGCTCCATCCCCAGCTGGGTGGGAGTTACAACCCTGGGGCCCAGCTGTATCTACTGAGTATCCCCTCTCCCTCCTGCTCCCCCAGCGTTCAAACTACCTGCACCGAGAGGTGGTGGAACTAGCTCAGCACTATGATAATGTGCGGGTAACACCGTGGCGCATGGTCACCATCTGGGGTGGGGCCAGCCTTCTGAGGATGTACCTGCGGAGCATGAGGGACTTGCTGGAGGTTCCTGGCTGGACCTGGGACTTCTTCATCAACCTGAGTGCCACTGACTATCCAACCAGGTGTGAGAATGGGGCTCCAAACTCTCTGGGTGAGAATGGGACCCCATCTATGATCTTGGAGTTGGAGGGTCCATTTTCTCATCCAAGTCTCATTCTGGGATTCCCCACAGCCCAGATATGGTCCCTTGTTTCCGAGCATGAGTTTGGCGAGAGACTGGTAAAAGGTGATCTGAGGACTGAGACTAATAAGAGATGGGGAGGAGCAGCCATGGGCCTGTGCCTAGGGTGTTGGGTCAGGCAGCAAGGGTGGAGGAAGGGTAGGGTCTTCTTTGGGCCCTTCAGGTACCACCACCCCAGAGTATCAACTAAGGATAGGGCATGTGGCCTCATAGCACTCTGAGAGAAGAAGGTATAAGAGGTGAAGGTCAAGCATGTTAGAGGGAGTCTGTGCTGGGCCATGGACTGAGCAACTGCTGCACACATCCCCTTCCCTCTCCAGGACTAATGAGGAGCTAGTAGCATTTCTATCCAAGAACCGGGACAAGAATTTCCTCAAGTCACATGGCCGAGACAACTCCAGGTAAGGGAAGGTAGGGGAGGACCTGGTGTTTTGAACCATGCATCCCACACAAGGGCACTTAGTGGGCCCAGCCCTGGATGACAAAGCCCCAAAACCAATCATTGATGAGAGCGAGCCAGTTGCCAGGTGGGCAAGAGAGTTTGGCCCTTTAGTCATGGCCTTTCTGCCTTCCTCAGGTTCATCAAGAAGCAGGGCCTTGACCGGCTCTTCCATGAGTGCGACTCACATATGTGGCGCCTGGGAGAGCGGCAGATCCCAGCAGGAATTGTGGTGGATGGCGGCTCTGACTGGTTTGTGCTGACGAGGAGCTTCGTTGAATATGTGGTGTACACAGATGACCCCCTTGTAGCCCAGCTACGCCAGTTCTATACCTACACATTGCTCCCAGCTGAGGTAGGTGACCAGGCAGGCATGAAGAGCAGGGAGGGCACTGATTGGACTGCCCATGGCTCACCCTCCACTCTCTCCTGATACCTATAGTCCTTCTTCCACACGGTACTGGAGAATAGCCCGGCCTGTGAGACCCTCGTGGACAACAACCTGCGGGTCACCAACTGGAACCGCAAGCTGGGCTGCAAGTGCCAGTACAAGCATATTGTGGACTGGTGTGGCTGCTCCCCCAACGACTTCAAGCCACAGGACTTCCTGCGGCTACAGGTGCTCTCCTGTGGCCTGAGAGACCTGTGCCCCAGCTGTTCCCCACAGACTAAACGGGTTAGAAAGGCAGGATGGGCCTCCACTTGGAGAAGCCCTGGGGTCTAGGCCTACAGTGGCAGTGACAGCAGCAAATCAGGGAGGCTGACTCTAGGCAGTGCTGAGAGGGCAGCCCTTGAGGTGCTCTACAGAGCCCTTCACCCTCATCTCTTTTCCTCCAGCAAGTCTCCAGACCCACCTTCTTTGCCCGAAAGTTTGAGTCCACTGTGAATCAGGAAGTCCTGGAAATCTTGGACTTCCACCTATATGGCAGCTACCCACCTAGCACGCCGGCTCTCAAAGCCTACTGGGAGAACACCTATGACGTGGCTGATGGCCCCAGTGGACTCAGTGATGTCCTACTCACCGCATACACAGCCTTTGTCCGTCTCAGCCTGCGCCATGCTGCCACTGCTGCACCCCCACTGGCCACTGCACTCTGCAGGTAAGACCCTCTTCTGACACATAGGTTCTTGTTAGGGGAAGCAAATTAGAAAGCCACAGCCCTCACCCACAATGAGTCCCCAGTCTGAGGAAGGAAAAAAATTTTAAGAATAACAACAAAAAAATTAAAGAAGACAAAAGCCAGGCACAAGAATGCTGTGGGGTGTGAGATTTGGGGCAAAGGAAATGGGACTCCCCAGTGCCCCCTCCCTGGGACTCCAGGCAGAGTCAGGTGTCTGATGGCATCTCCCTTTCTCCCCACTGAAACCTTAGGTTTGAGCCCAGGGGTTTGCCGTCCAGCGTGCACCTGTATTTCTATGACGACCATTTCCAGGGCTACCTGGTGACGCAGGCAGTGCAGCCCTCAGCCCAAGGGCCAGCAGAGACGCTTGAGATGTGGCTGATGCCCCAGGGGTCACTGAAGCTGTTGGGGCACAGCGATCAGGCCAGCCGGCTCCAGAGTTTGGAGGTGGGACAGGTCCTCCCCCTTGCTTTCTCCTGACCCCCAGCAAGACGCAGGGAGTGGGAAGAGAGGGACAGACACCAAGGGAGGGGTAAGAACTCCATCAGACCTTTATGGTTTGGGCTCTGTGGGCTCTGCTTTCCCAATAGTGGCAACTTTAGTGATGCCTCACACAGACATGCCTGTGTTAACCCCCACAGGCACACACTGAGGAGCCCTCCCACATGACACAGCACCTGGAATAGGGACAGAACTGTCAGTTCCAGTCTAAAGTGCAAGGATTCCTGGACTTGGACCTTCCAGTTGAGCTTTGGGTGTTTAGTCTTCTTCCTAGAGGCTCTGGTTTCATGGGGATATGGTCTGTCTTAGACCCCCACTGCTGTAGAATAGTTCAGAATGACAGTCTAGAATGAACCTCAGAGCTGGGAGAGATGTTAAAGTTCTCCTAGACTCACCCCTTCATTTTGAAGATAGGGAAACTGAGACCCCCCACCACCACCACCACCAAAGAGGCAGTGACTGGTCTGAGGTTATGCAGTGAGAGGTGGCATCAGAGCAGACAGAAGGACTTCTCCCAGGCTCCTGCCCAGCTGCCTCCCTCCCTACAGGTTGGCACTGAGTGGGACCCCAAAGAACGTCTTTTCCGGAACTTTGGGAACTTACTGGGACCACTGGATGAGCCTGTAGCCATGCAGCGCTGGGCTCGGGGCCCCAACCTCACAGCTACTGTGGTCTGGATTGATCCAACCTATGTTGTTGCCACTTCATATGACATCACGGTAGATGCAGAGACTGAGGTCACGCAGTACAAGCCTCCACTGAGCCTGCCCCTGCGGCCAGGAGCCTGGACCGTTCGATTGCTTCAGTTCTGGGAACCCTTGGGTGAGACCCGCTTCCTTGTACTGCCCTTGACCTTCAACCGCAAACTACCTCTCAGGAAAGGTAAGGATGTGGTGCCCAAACGATGCCCAGATTTCACACAGACTATGATCTGCCAGGGTGTTAACCCCATGCCTGAGTGTAGGAAGGGAGAAGTCAGGGTCTTGGCTTTCTATCTCTATTTTGTGGTAGCAGGGAAAGAGAAGAGCTAGGCAGACTGCAATCTGGAACAGAGCTCTGCCCCTGTAATTGGGCCTTGAGCTTTAGAAATTACCTGGCCTTTTCACTTACATTAAAATAGGGGCAGCACAACTATCTGAGACTTCCTGGCTGACTGGAACACAAGTTACTCAAACTAGCTCCAGTGAAAAAGGGAAATGTGGGGCTCTCTTCCACAAAACCTAGAAAATGCCTCAGATCTCACTGGGATCCAGAGGTGCTTTCTCCAGTCTTCTGAGGCGTCTTGTCCCTTCATCGTGTTCTGTCTGTGATGCTGTGTGCTTTTCCATACATGACCTCTCAGTGCAGCAAAGCCAGATTAGGGCCTTGAGGACTTCCAAGTCCTACAGTCTTGGGACAACAAACCTGGCCATCCCAAGCCACCATGTGGCTAGGTGGGCAGGTTCACATAGCCCTCTGGTGATCTGGTTAAGGCTAGGGAGGCAGACCCTTGGCAGTCGGAGGCGGAGCAGGTTATTGCAAGGGGGTGCCCCAGAGATGTTGGGATGAGTGCTGGCTCACAGTGGTGATTCAGTGGGTGTTCATAGGTTTCCTTTCCCTACTGCATCCTATCACGAGAAGGTGGGGAGAGCAGGAGTAACCTGAAGAGAGGGGATGAGGGGTTGGGACAGGATAGGCAAGCCACTTTTCTCGCCATGTCTGATGGAGACAGCAGGTGGAGCTCTGTAGATAGGGCCTGGGACTAGACCTCAAAGCACAAAGGCAGAGTGTGTTCAAAGCTGAGAGGACATAGATGGCACTGGTACATGAGGGGATAGAATAGAGAGGCAAAGAAGGTGCAGGGATTTGTGGGAAGGAAGGCCAGTGAGGCAAGCTGGCCCAATGTGGAGAAGAACAGCCTGCCAAGGATCGGGGGCCACTATGAGTCAAAAATGGTGTGTGTGACACACACAAACCAGAGTACCAATTTTCTAAAGTGCCTTGAACCCACTGTTTGACATAGTCCTAAAGTTAGGAATTCAGGGATTACTGCTTTGGTTTATTTATTTATCTATGGGAGAGAGAGGAGAGACAGAGCATGTACATGCAATAGCACTCATGTGGAAGTCAGAGGACAACTTGGGCACTAGTTCTCTCCTTCCACCATATGGGTCCTAGAGATCGAACTAAGATGGTCGGGCTTGGTGGTAAGGTACCTTTATCCACTGAGCCATCTTGCCAGCCCTTATTCATTTTTTGAGACAAAGTCTTATACTGTAGCCCAGGCTAGCCTGGAATGCTGTGTGTAGCCCATCCTGGCCTGAAATTCTTAGCAGTTCTCCTACTTCAGCCTCTCGTTAGCTGGGACTACAAACGTGAATCACCAGGCACAGCTACTGCTTTGGTTTTTTTTTTTATATTTTATTTATGTTTTTAATTTTATGTGTATGAGTGTTATGCCTGCATGTAAGTGCACCTGTGTCATGCAGTGCCCAAGGAGGACAGAAGAGGCTGTCGGATGCCCTGGAACTGGAGTTACGGACAGTTGTTAGCTGCCATGTGGGTGCTGGGATTCGAACCTGGGTTTTCTGTAAGAGCAGTGTTCTTAACTACTGAGCCATCTCTCCAGCCCTGCTTTGTTTTTTTTTTTTACAACTATTGATTTTATAGGCATAGAAAGTTCCTTGGATTGGCCTCAGACCACTCTGCAAACAGGGCCCTGTGGTAAGGTTGGAATGGGAACCTCTGTGCCCAGGTCTGACTGGTCTAACCTTCAGAGGACTGCAGGGTTTGCTTAACTGCCTGTTCTGCACTCCCAGATGATGCTAGCTGGCTGCACGCGGGACCACCCCACAACGAGTACATGGAGCAGAGTTTCCAGGGACTAAGCAGCATCCTGAACCTGCCTCAGCCAGAGCCCCTGGAGGAGGCTGCCAGGCGGCGCAAAGGGCTCACAGGCCCTGCACTTGAAGCCTGGACAGATGGGGAGCTGAGCAGTTTCTGGTCTGTGGCAGGACTGTGTGCCACAGGCCCCTCTGCCTGCCCCTCCCTGGAGCCCTGCAGACTGACCACTTGGAGCTCTCTATTCCCTGATCCCAAATCGGAGCTGGGGCCTGTCAAAGCAGATGGCCGACTCAGGTAGCAGGGCCCCAGCCAGAACAACCCGGAGGAGCCCGGGTAATTGCACCTTACAGACAATGGAGGGATATCCCTCCCACAGACCAGAGGCCTAGACAGTACCCTGATCCACCCATCAGGAACCCGCACCGACGGCAGGGAGGTGGGCACAGTGCTCACTACTGCTAATGGCTCTGCAGGAGCCCAGAGGGCCAGTGGAAACTGAGAGGGCTCTTCCTCCCCTCCTCTCTAGTTTGTAACTTTTTTATTTAAAATGGGTGGTGGGGGGAAGAATAAGAAACAAAAGATGTGCAATAGGGCTCAGAGCAGCCCCAGGAAGTAGGCCATGGCCATGGGGAGCATGGCCCACAGAGCCCATATGCTAAAGCTCTGGAAGAGTCCCAGCCTGCTCCTGAGCTGCTCACAACTGAGGCTTTGTAGAGGGGCAGGTGCCCTGCCAGGCTCTGAGGCCTGGAGAACAGGTGATTTGGGGGCCATGTGGAGCTGGGCTTTAGCGAGACAGCCTCTCCTCTGGTAGCCAGGGGACCCTAGAGCAGGGGTGGGGCTGGCTCTCGGGCTTTCCAGCACACCCTGCCCTGTGCCAGGAAATGCAGGGCATCAGGGCCTCCTGAGACCAGGGCAGTTTCCCAGGTGTGTCCTGGGAGGAGGAGCAAGCCTCACTAGCAGCACAGGAAGAAGACCGTCAGGGTGCTCAGAAGAACCTGGAGACGTGTTGTGCCTGAAGCTTGGTGTGAAGTCTGAAATATGCAACAGAAGAAATATATCTCTCTCTCTCCAAGCTGAGGCTCTGAGTTTTCTCCTGTGTGTGAAGGAGCTGTGGCTGTTCCCTGGGCTATCTAGAAGTCTTAGCTGGTACTCTGAGAGCCTTGAGAAGGTTCCTCCATAGTAGGAACAGTTGCAAATCTACCAAGAACCAGATGAGATGTGAAAATTGCAGTCTTCGTTCTGAGAGTAAATGGGCCCTGAGAGGCTCAGACTTCCTTCTTCATTGCTACCCAGCAGGCCAGCATGACTGGAGTTTGGTTTTTAAAGCCCCACCCAACATTCCACCCTGACAGTGGGCCAGGTTGCAGTAAGTGCTACTGGGCCTTCATCACTCAGGCCCATCCCAAAATCTTCATTTTTCTTGCTACCTGCTCAAGTCCTGCCTTTGAAGCCCACTCAGGAATGGGGGTTATTGTGGCCATGGCCTCCTGGTTAGTGCGGGCAGCTTGTTCTTTTAAGGACAGGTGCAGAGCTTGACTACCTACCCACTGACCTAGGGACCTAGGAAGATGATGTCTGCATTTATTCACCTGCTTTTTCTCTGTCCTTCTCCTTTCCCATCTCTTATTCTTGTCAACAAGGGCTCAATATTAGTGCTTCACCCTTTACACAATGTGGAGTCAGAGTGAAGGTTTTTGGACCTCTGAAATCACATTATTAGCAGGTACACTGGAAATAAGGGGCTCACTCTATTCCTGTCCCAGATGCTACATCACTTTCCCAGTTGCCGGGAGAGGGCACTCCTGACCACCAATAAGAGCATTAGTGTGGGCTGTCTACAGCAAGCTCACTTAACTCTCTGATGCCTTAGAGGCAGGCACTTCTGTTTTTCTTCACGAAGACTACAACTGATATCTGAGAAATGATGAGCCCAGAGTCAAAGCTACTGGATGGTGTCAGTACTTTGCAGAGGGGGTCAGGAGGCGTCCAGAACCACCATGCCACTGGACTCTCCTTTTCTCACATGATGTAGCTGGCCAAGGCAGGAACATACAGAGGGGAAGATGGTTATTCTTCCTGGTTCATATTTTAGTGTATACTTGAAGCTATATTCTAGTTCTAGAATATTGTATGTTTTTAATTGATATCAGCTCTTAAGAACAAAAAAAACTACTGTCTGTCACATAGACATAGTAAACTCAGGACAGGTAGAGTGAGTGCTATGGGGGTATGTACACCAATGTGCACATAGCATGAGCCAGAAGAGGATGTTGCATATTCTGCTCATCAGTTCTGTATCCTCTTGAGGCAAGGTCTCTCACTGAACCTGAACCTTGATGGATTTTTGGCTAGGTCAGCTAGCCAGCAAGTCCCAAGGATCCTTCTGTCTCGACCCCAGAACAGGTTTTACAGACCACCTGATGCGCCGCTTGACTTTTCCGTAGGTGCTGAAGATCTGAATTCAGGTCCTCGTGTTTGCACAGCAAGCACTCTTACCTACTGAGTCATCTCCCCAGCCTATTTTGGTTTTGTTGAGAGACGATCTCCTGATAGTACAAGCTGGCCTTGAACTGTGTAGCTGAAGACAACCTTGAACTCCTGATCTTGTCTCCCACCTCTCAACTGCTATATCGGAGGCATGTGCCACAGCAAGCAGCTTAGTTTGCTAGCTTAGGTGGTTCACATACTGCCACCCCCTGCCATTCTCTAGCATATCACAGCAGGTCCTAGTGATACTCTGTTGGCCTGCTGCAAACATTCTAGAAAGTTTACATTCTAGTCTGGCCCAGTAGGTGGTCCTGAATGAGGACCCATGTTTTTAAAGCCCTCCCCTGGAGGAGGGGTGCCCCATTTGCAAGCAGGCAAAATGGAGGGAATCTAGCCCTTGCCACTCTGGCAGTCTTGTCATGGCCCTACTGAATCCACATCTTTGCAGGACCCAGGAACATGTTCCAGGACTCCTTGGATAGGTTCAGAGGCAGGCCCTCTTTGCTGTTCTCTGCTTCGGTCCCTACGATAAGTGCAAGTGTGGCTTCTTTGCCACAGTCTCCTGGCTTGGGCTTTTGAGGTTCCTTTGGAACACCCCCTAGCAGGATTCCTGGAGTCAAGATCAGGGTTCAGACCAGACAGGTTGTGAGATGAGAGTAAGGGGCAGCTCAGGCAGATTCCTTGAGCTTCAGTAATACCCTGACGGGATAAGGAGACCCTGGACATGGGTAAAGAGGCTTTTATGTCTGCCCAATGTGCCCAGTTTCTAGGGCAACCATGGATATTAGAGGTGAGAGCCAAGACCAGAGGACAGCTAAATGGAAATGGAAACCTAGTTACCTTGGCTGCTGGGAAGTGGAGGTGGGAGGGGATCTGAGGCCAAGAAATACGGAGATTTAGGCAGCTGGAATTCCCCTGGTTTGGCAGAAATCTGGTCTGTTTACACCAGCCCTTTCTGAAGAGGGCGGGGAATTCATGGCTGCCAGGCCCACAGTGGGGTGTGCTGTCTATAGCACACAAGGTTGCAGTTTGGTACTAATCAGAACCTAGGAACCTGCTCATAGACACCCAGCTCTGAAAGAGGTTGAACCTTTGGGCCAGGGTTCCTGGGGAGTATGTGGCCCTTGGGGGAGGGCCAAACCTGGGGTAAGGCTGTTGCCCTCTCTTGGTACCCCATTCCTCTGCTTTTTGGTGTACACAGCCAATGATGGGCAACAACCTCAGTGTCCTGAGTCACAGCCACTGATGAGTATGCTGCCATTCAGTCATGGAACTGAGGCAGAAGCACTTCTGTGTGATGGCTTTGTATTTCCAGCCCTTGCCCTGCCTGGGCCAGGTTCTGTAATGCCAGTCTGACAGAAGGATCGGGTGCCAGGGGTTATGAGTTAGGGTTAGGGTTACTCTCCTCAGACCCTGATTCTAGGAAATCTGCCTCCTCCCTCTCCCTGTGCATGTGCCTTTATCAAGTCTCCCTTACATGTATCACTCCTTCCCACACTGAAGACGGGGAGGAAGCTGCTCTGCTGTACTCCGGGGAATTGATACTGTAGCAGAAGCTTGCCCCTGCTGCCCTATGTGTCAAGCCAGATTCTTCCCATCCCAGCTTCTGGAGTGGAATTGCCATCTAGAGATAAAGGCTCATGTTCTCAGGTGCTGAGCCTCAGGACAGTAGTATGCCCTAATGTTCCCAAAGCCATCCTGCCACTGCTGCACCAACGCCACCTCTAGTACTGCCAGTTCCTCTGCCCCTGTCAATTCTTTTTAAAAAAACTTTTTTGAGACCAGGTCTCCCTGTAGCCCCAGCTGGCCAGGAACTTGCAATGTAGACCAGGTTGGCCTCAATGTCAGAGATCCCCTCTCATGTGCTAGAACCAAAGACATTTACGCCAGCCCGTCAATTCTTGAATCCCAACCAAGAATAAACAAGCATCCCTCAGCAAGCCTTTGTCTGCAAGCTTCCACTCCGATTCTGACCAAAGGGCCCATATGCTCTAACCTGGCAGAAGTGACTGTTCAGTAGGGAAGGGGTCTTTGTGATCTGCTGAGGAGCAATGCATCCTCCAACCCAGGGTCAGAGCAACACTAGGGAAAGAGTTCACAAGATCCCTCCCTGGCCATTGTTAAACTGTGCAGGGAACTTTCAATGAAGACAAAGGTCTCTTCCTAGCTCCTAGAGGAAAGTCACAGCAGGCTTCTGTGGGAGGGAAGGTGGCAACTCCAACACTGGTCAGCCCTGTCCCCAGGGACAGGGTACCTACCATATGGCAGCTGTGTAGGAAGCAAAATAAACCTGAGCTTCAGTCCTAAGCTCTGAGCCCCCAACACTAGGCACAAGACCAGGGAGGAGGAGGGGAGGACAGAAGATGCTGTTCAGACTGTCCTTCCAAAGGTCATCAAAGCTCACTGCCAAAGAGGGACAGAATAAGCCAGTGGACAGAAAGGAATTTCTCACCCAAGTGCTTCTCAGACATGCTAAGGGCCTGAGACTGAGTAGAAAGAACTATAAGAATGACCAAAGGGATACTGGAGCAAAATATTTGGACTCTGCTCTTTTGCCTGCTAGCCCTATATCCCAGCTTTGCCTCTGATCCCCAGGCTTACTTAGCTCCTCACTACCTCAGCCGTGTTCAGTGTGTTCAGTTTTTTAAGTGGGCTGGAAGAAACCATCTGCCACCTACCCTGTCTCACCATTGGAAGGACCCTTGTATTGCAGGATAGGAGGGAACCGGCTGAGTCTGGTGTCTCACAAGCCTCCTCTACTATAACCTGCAGAGGCAGTGGGTGTGGAGAGCTACCATGTAGCCACCTCTGGGGTTGCAGCTGGCTCCTACCTGTGGTTCATGGTTTCCTTTATTTCCTATCTTCCTCCTCCCAGAGCCTCTGGACCTTTAAGGACACAGGAGGAAGTAGCAGTGGCACTCTAGGGAATAAAGTCTCATCCTTCCTCTAAGGGATGCTGCTAATATTTCCTTAAAACCAGGGCCCATTCTCAGTTCTTTGCTCTGACAGGTCTCTTCCTGCCTCTCCTTTGGTATGCATGAGAACATGGCTAAGAACCAGCAGAGCAGCAGTCGCCCCATCCAGATTTATCCCCACATGGCAGAGATACAGGACTCCAGTTAGCTTTATTTAACCTACTAAAGGGTTTCCAGCAGTCACAGCACAAAGGCTCCTATAGTCACCATCCAGCTGACCTCTTCTGAGAGGCCTCATTGTCACCCTGACCCTTGACTTATGCTACCACCTGCTCCTGTCACCTGGGCTCCAGTCTCTGTCCAATAGCCTCACCAAGACTTCAAAGCATGGCTGCCAGTTTGAAGGTGCCCTCGGGTTTGGCAGGAACCACATGAACGAAAGTCTTGTAGAGCACAGCACCCTTGGGCAGCCTGGTGACCAGATCCACAGCCTCCAAGTTTTGGGGATTGGGCACATAGACCTCTTTAGTGTAGCGGACTATTCCTTCTTCCAGGGCATAGAGGCACTTGTTCTTCCCGAGCCCCACCTGCAACATAGATCTAGTCAGCTGGAGAGAGATAGGATCCATCCCGAGGCCTTAGGACAGACTTCTCCCTCAGTGTGAAACCTAGGGCAGAAGGGCAGTTTGAGAACTCTCTCAGGTTTCTCTTTCCCACTGCGTGGCACTTCTTTGTCTCTGCTTCTTTACCAACTCCTGATGGCCGTTCAATCCCAGATACTGGTAACAATAGTCACATCTATGCAGCTGATCAGAACATTGCCTCTGAGTATGCTTTGTTTAGACTCATAAAATACTAGAGTTGTCAAATTAAATTTTAGTTTCATGTGCATTTTCATTTATATCAAGTTTAGGTTCTATGGAAACTGCAGATCAAGATTATATGGATAATGCATACACTAATAAAACAATAATGGCAACTAATACTTATCTAATGCTTACTATGTAAGCAGTCAATTAACTATGAGAACTGGTCTAAGTCCCTACACATATCACTCCTTTCTTACCTTGTACACAAGATATATTTCCAACCCCAGTTTCCAGATGAAAAATACAAAGTTAAGTGCTTTAATAAGTAGTGCTGTATATACTGATGTTTAAACTGCATATACTTTTTTTCTTTTACAAGTTGAAATTAGATGTGTAGCAATTAGAAGGAAAAAAAGGCTGAGGACCTGGAGAAATGCCTTAGTGGTTAAGAGCATTTGCTGCTCTTCCAGAGGATCTGAGTTTGGTTCAGAGCATCTAAGTTGAACAGCTTACAACCACCTATATAACTCCAGATCCAGGGGATCTGACACTCTCTTCTGGCCTCTTGAAGGCACCAGTGGGACACTCTCTTCTGGCCTCTTGAAGGCACCAGTGCAAGCACGTGCGTGCACACACACACACACACACACACACACACACACACACTTTAAAAACAAAAAAGCTGGGCATGGTGGCACTGCCTGAATGCTAGCACTTGGAAAGGAAGAACCTGGAGGCTCAAGACCTGTTCTATACAGAAACTACCAGGCCAGTCAGCGTCTCAAAACCAAAACGAGCCAGGCATGGTGGCACACATCTTTAATCTCAGCACTTGAGAGGTAGAGGCAGGCAAATCCCTGTGAGATCAAAGCCAGCCTGTTCTACATAGGGAGTTCTAGGCCAGCTAGGAGACCCTGTCTCAAAATTAATTAATAAATAAAATATTTTTTAAAAAATGTATCATTAAGAATTTTGCCACTTTCAGAAGGTAACCTGTATTTTTTTATTTTTTTGGTCTTTTTGAGACAGGGTCTCCCTTTAGCCCCTGCTGGCCTGGAACTCACTAAGTAGACCAGGCTGGCCTCGAATTCACAAAGATCCACCTACCTCTGCCTCCCAAATGCTGGAATAAACGGCATATGTCACCATGTCTGGCTTGGTAACTGTATTTTTTAAAGATTTATTTTTATGGCTGGATATGGTTGCAAACGCCTTTAATCCCAGTACTCAGGAGGCAGCAGAGGCTTTGGCTCTCTGTGAGTTCAAGTCCAGCCTGGTCTATACAGTGAGTTCCAGGCCAGCAAGCACTACATAGTGAGACCCTGTCTCAAGAAAACGAAAACCAAACCCAAACAAAACCAACAAAAGATTTATCTGTATTATTATTTTTTTAGGGTGGGTTGTCTTTTTGAGACAGGGTCTCCCTGTATCCCCAGCTGTCCTGGAACTCACTATGTAGACCAGGCTGGCCTTGAACTCACAGAGATCCACCTGCCTCTGCCTCCCGAGTGCTGGGATTAAAGGTGAGCACTACCATGCCTGGCCTATCTGTATTATTTTTAATTATGTGTATGTTTATGTGTGGGTATGTGCACATGAGTGCAAGTTCCTGAGGAAGCCAGAGGAGACAGATCCTTTGGAGCTGGAGCTGTGATTGTGAGCCGCCCAATGTGGGTGCTGAGAATCGAACGCCAGTCCTCTGCAAGAGCAGGACCTACTCTTAATTACTGAGCCATCTCTCCAGTCCCAGATTCTTTTAAACATATTGTCTCTAGGTCCACAGGCAGCTGCAGATGCCCCATATATCATATTAGATAACCCACTTCCATTTCTTTCTTTTTTTTTTTTTTTTTGGTCTTTTTGAGACAGGGTCTCCTTGTGCCCGGCTCACTTCCATTTCTTATGGAAGAGATCTAATGTTAAGCAAGCCCCAGCTATAAATGGGGTCTCACCCACTGAGTCTCTGGCATCAACTGTCAAGCAAGGAAAAAACATACACTTCACAGGGATGTTGTAAGGGCACATGAGATAATGCAGGCATAGGAATCAGCATAGCCTTTGGCACATGGTGAACACCCCATAAACCAAACTATTTATAGTTATTACTGTGTTTAGGATCATGGAAAGGTTGTCCTAGAAAAGAAAAAAAGGGGGACGCAGAGCAACTCACATGGGCGCCTGGGTGCCAGCGGAACTGGCGCTGAGTTCCAAGGATGTTGCCAGCATGAACATAGTGCCCTAGAAGGGAAGTCCACAAGTGAGCTGACTCTGTACCCCAGTGTTCACAGAAGCACAGCAAAATGTTGAGAAAACATGATGGCTCAAGGGTTCTCTACCAACCTCTAAGCCTGCCCCTGAACAATACCACCAACATGGTCCCACATAAGCAACACTTGACCCCCACTGCCCCAGGAGCCTCTTCTCCACATGCATGGGTAAGATTCACACCTACCCACACCTCATTGGGGCCTCCATCCCACCTGAGGTTTCATCTGCTCCTTCAATCTGGAGCCAAGTGCTTTAGTGAGCTGAGCAATGAGCAGAGGGCCAGGCACTTGCATGGCTTTTTAGCTCTTTTAAGGAAGACCATGGCAGCAGAGTATGGTGCAGCCAAAAGGAGAAATCAAGGAACACCCTCACCTTCCATTTTCTTGATGCCATAACGTTTGCCTATTGATTTTCCACCTAGGTTTTTGGAGCTGCCACCTGTCTTCTTGGATGCGTATCTGACGGCAAAAGATGAAGCCTGACTGGGGTTGAGCAGAGCTGTAAGTACAGAGAGAACAGAAATACTACTCAGAGAGGAGCCCAAAGAAAGTGAGAGAGACTTTCTCTGCCTCTGTGGAACACTTGCTAGGCTGAGAGGGGACAGGGGAAATGAGATGTGTGAAGGGAGCAATAATGCTAAGTGTGTGGTTTTAGGGAATACCTGGAAGTCCTTGGCCTTCCCCCACTGCAGGGAGCAACTCATCCCTTGAATTGTACACAGGGTAAGCATGGTGTTGGGGGGTGGGGGAGAGGTGCATGTGCGTGTGCGTGTGTGTGTGTGTGTGTGTGTGTGTGTGTACAAACAATATAAATAGGGAAAATAATCAGGTGTTCCAGATCCTAGGTGCATGTGCGTGTGTGTGTGTGTGTGTGTGTGTGTACAAACAATATAAATAGGGAAAATAATCAGGTGTTCCAGATCCTGACACATTCAGTCTTGTTGAAGAAAAACAAGCATCACAGATACAGAAGCCAGCAAGAGGATACCAAGAGCTGCGTATTTCAAAGACTCACACAGCCTCATGCGCTGGGGAGGGCCCAAACCACAGGACTCACAGAGGGGCTTCTGCTTCAGCCTCATCTACCACTCTCTTAGCTATCCACCTACCCACCTAATACCAGTCACTTGAACACCAAAAGGGCAGTTGGTCAGAGGGTGGGTTCCACAGTCAGCTGGTCAGAGGGTGGGTCCTAGTCAGCTGGCTGTTTCAATAAGGCCTTTCTCCCAGAGCCCATCAGCAAAAGTTGAACCAAGATGAGCGCAAACTGAGAATCTGACCTCTCCACTCATCCCAAAGTGCTCAACAATATTTATTTTAAAAGGGAAAATGAAGCCAGGTATGGTGGCACATGCCTTTAATCCCTGCACTTGGGAGGCAGAGGCAGGCGGATCTCTCTGAGTTTAAGGCTAGCCTGGTATACATAGTATGTTCCAGGACAGCTGGGGCTACAGGGAAACCCTGTCTCAAAAAGACAAAAAAAAAAAAAAAAAAAAAAGGAAAATGATCTGGGAGGAGTTGGGGGGCAGGGCAGGCATAGCTATGACCAAAATACATGTATACATTATGAAATTCTCAACAATAAAAAATTTTTTTCAAAAAGGAAAATGATCTAAAATTCGTACTAACACAGGCAGTTGGCAGTCTGCCTGGACACAGTTCCAGGCTATGCCAGTGTCTTTAGAGATGCTGTGTGGGTGTGTGGGGCTTGTTTGCTTAGGTTTCTCAGTCTCATGAAAGTGGAACTGGCTGGGATACTGATATAGGAACTCACAGAGACATGTTAACATGTCCAGCGCCAGGGTCCACTTATCTTTAAACATCTATTCATTCAGTTTTTTCTAGTGGGGTATTAGAGAGTGAACCTGGGGTCTCAGACATGCTAGGGAAGTTCCTCTACCATTGGGCTATATCCCCAGCCTTTTTTATTTTTTAACTTTTTGACATAGGATCTCACTATTGGTCAGACTGGGTCTGAACTCACTCACTTTGCAGCCCCTACAAGCAGGCCTTGAACTTACAAACAGGCCTTGAACTTGAAATCCTCTGGCCTCAGCCTCACACAAAAACAGAGATTACAGGTCTGTGCCCTGGCTTTGTTCACGCTTATGAGTGAGATTTTGTTTTACCTATGTAATTTTGTTCATAAATTGTTGCTCTTCTCTCTCCCTCCTCCTCCTCCTCCTCAAGTAAATGATGCTAAATATAACCAGTTGCTCTGGGAAAACCAAGAGAAATTGCAGGTTACTTCCCTTCCCTCATTTCACATACCAGCAAGGTCTGTGGATCTCCAGAACAGATCTCGAATCCATCCACTTCCCGCCAAGTTCACTGTCACCTTCACTAACATCTTGGCTAAATTATGTTACATCAGACTACTATTCCAATTTCCCACCTGGTTTGTTTCGTTTGTTATTTATTCTTTATATTTTTTGAGGCTGTGATCCAGGCTGGCCTTGAACTTGAGGCAATCTCCTGTCCCGGGCTCCTGAGTGCTGGAATTACAGGCATCAGCATGCCTGGCCCCACTCCTTCCTCTTCACTCTGTGTCCAGCCTGCCCACTCTTAATTTATATAAGAGCAACAGTTTGTTTCTCAAAACTAGATCAACTAGGTTGCTTGCAGGAGCTGGGGCCAGGGCATCTGGGGACTTATCTTGCTCTCTCTCTACACAAGACTAAGTCCCTTTTAGGTCTTGATGAGAACTTCCTTAACTAATCTAAGAAAAAAGTCTTCACAGCACTTGTCACAATCACTACTATATTTGTATGTGTTTATTGGCTTACCAACTGGAAAGAACTGATAACGGGTTACAGGTCATGTTTTCTGCTGATATTCTGAACACTGTGTCTGGCGGTAAGATCTAAGAGGTGGGCATGATGACATATGCCTGAAATCCCAGCACTAAGATAGGAGGACCGAGACTTCCAGGCCAGCTTGGGCTACACAGTGAGAATCGATCTCAAAAGTACGGGGGTGAGGGGAGCGGCAAGACCTGAATAGCTCTGCTGAACCTACATTAACTTTTTTGAACTCAGTATTCTTCACAGCGGAAGAGACCCACGTAAACCCAGAGCAGAAGGGTCACGCTCGGGTAAGCAACACTCCCGAGGTAGAGGTGGAGGGAACAGAGCTCACACACCCTCCTCGCTCCACCCAACACGTGTCACGTGACCGGAGACGGCGGCCTCCACCGGTCGCACCCCGCACCCAACGGACCCCGCGGAAACCAGTTTCCATCTCCCGGCTCCCTGTGACCTTGCCCCGCAGTGGCCACGGAGCTCCGCTACCTGCTGCCCGCGTCCTCAGAGCGAGCGCCGCAGTCGCCATCTTTGCTTCGCACTGGCTTCCGGTCTTGAAACCCTGCTTCCGCTACCGGAAGACCTACTTCCGGGTCCCATGTACACTCGAAAGGGTGGCGGGAGCTGCTGGAGGTGAGCTGCGCAGGGCTGGGGCTGGGGGACGGAATGGGGCCCTCCTGCTAGCCATTTGCTGCACCAAGCCCTAGGAGAGGCATTGTTTCATTTAATTCTTACAAACCAAAACTGTCGGTGGTATTACGTTAAACTGTGACCCAGGAAAGTTATAGGATTATCCAGGGCCGTATCTACAATCAGTAAACATTTGTGCAAAGAATGTCTTTTGTATGTGACCCAGAATTCCAGTACTCAAAAAGTTTGTATGTGAATGTGCATAGCAATATTATTAATAATAGCCGAAAAACAGAAGCAAGCTAAGTGTCCATCAGGTGATGAATAGTTAAGCAAAATATGGCATAGCCATACAATGGAGTATTATTCACCTATAAAAAGCAAGGCTGTATTGTTACAACACAGATGAACCTTGAAACTAAGAATGAAAAGCCAGTCACAAAAGGCATATATTGTATGATTGTAAGAACTGTCCAGATCAAGAAACTCCGATGGGCTTTCATAAGAACATTTGAGAATTGCCCTGTTCTGAGTTTTTTCTAGTTCCCTGTCTAGAACTCGTAATGCTAATTACTCTTGCCTTTACTTCTCCTTCACATCTCCTATTCACGATCCAAGGACTTTCTTCGTCCCTTAGAGACAAGAGTTACGCAATTAGGGAGTCTTTTAGATAGACCCACTGAAAAGGTACTCCAATTGCCTCACCCTGGTTCCCTGATCAGCATGGAAGAAGCCAAAGCGGTTGGTGTCCCTATTCCCTATTGGCAATTTGGGTAACCCCTTCAGAGGATGGTGTAATAAGAATAAGAGGTAAGAATTGGCTAAGCAGTTATGGTAAGAAGACCCAAAGAAATGTAGCCAGTTTCTTGGCTAAAAGTCAAAATGTCCTTGTCAAAATGTCCTTGGGCCTGTTAGCAACATATTCTGATCCAAAGGCCAAAAATGTCAAAAGTATTTGGGAGCTTGTATCTAATCCTTAAAAGATTTTAGGGTTACCTCTTCAGAGGGGGGAATGTCGGAGGGGGGGAGTGGGCATGGATTTGATCAAAACACCTTATATACATGTATGAAATTCTCAATAAAGTTTTTGTAAAATTTTTTTTAAAAAGTCGGGCGTGGTGGCGCACGCCTTTAATCCCAGAACTCTGGAGGCAGAGGCAGGGGGATGTCTGTGAGTTCAAGGCCAGCCTGGTCTACATAGCTAGTTCTAGGCCAGCTGGGGCTACAGGGAAACCCTGTCTCTAAAAGACCAAAAAACCACCCCCAAAACCCGAAAAGAACCCAGTACCAGCCAGGCCCAGTGGTACAGACCACAGTGCTCCAAGGAGGCCGAAGCAGGGGGACCTCAGTGCAAGGCTTACCGGGGCTACAGTTTATACTTAAGGCCAGCCTGACAATTTCTCAAAAATCAAAAAGGAGGGTTTGTAGTTTAATGGTAAAGAGCTAGTAAGTCCACAGTGGCTGGAGTTTCCATCTCTGATTCTGCCAAGCAAACAAGCCCAATGCTTCTGTAAACATCCTGGTAGGAGTGGACCAGGCTGGCCTTGAACTCACAAAGATCCACCTGCCTCTGCCCTGAGTGCTGGGATTAAAGGCATGTGCCACCATGCCCGACAGACAGTGATTTTTTTAATGAATATAGAATTTATTTTATTTTTGAGACAGTCTTACTGTGTAGCTCAGGCTGCCCTTAAAGTCCCCCTGCATCTGCCTCTCTGGAAGTGGAATTACAGTTGTACACCAGCATGCCCAGTTTGCATAGGATTTCTTTTTGTGGTGAAGCTGGAATTAGATAGTGGTAATGGTTATTCAATTGAAATATATTTATACCCTTTAATCTGTATGATTGCTTGAGTGATTGTGCTGGGGATTAAACTCATAGCCCTGTGCATTTGGAGCAGTCACTGAACTATACTCCTAGTTCGGTCCCTAAACTATATTTTCGTTGTTGTTGTGTTTTTGTTGTTGTTGTTGGGTTTGTTTGGGTTTTTTTTTGGTCTTTTTGAGATGGGGTCTCCCTGTAGCCCCAGCTGTCCTGGAACTCACTATGTAGACCAGGCTGGCCTTGAACTCACAGAGATCCACCTGCCTCTGCCTCCTGAGTGCTGGAATTAAAGGCGTGTGCCGCTACGCCTGGCTCTAAAATATATTTTTAAGTGATATGCATTATGTATGTGAATTATATGTTTTTCAAAAACATTTTTTTGTGTGTGTATATGTGTGCACAGTCATGGATGTAGAGGTCAGAGGAACTAGCAGGAGTTTATTCTCTCCTTCTGCCGTGGGTTCTGGGAATGAAACATGGTCAGGCTTGTTGGCAAGCAGCTGCCCCTGCTGAAATATACCACTCGCCTTTTTTTTTCCTCACCGTTTTTTTAAATTAAAATTTTTTATTTTTTAATTTTATATGCTTAGTATTTTGTTTGCATGTACATAAGTGTACCATGTGTGTACAATACCTGTGGAGGCTAGAAGAGGGCATCAGATCCCCTGGAACTGGAATTACAGCTGGTTGTTAGCCACCATGTGGGTCCAGGATATGAACCTGGGCCCTTTACAAAAGCACCATCATGGGTCCTCTGTTTACTGACTGTATTAGTCACGTTTCTGTTGCTGTGATAGAAACACTGACTGAAGCAATTTATAGAAGGAAGAGTTTATTTGAGTTTATGGTTCCAGGGGAATTACAGTCCGTCATGGCAGGGAGGCATGGTTGCTGGAGGTGGCTGGAGCAGGAGCAGCAGAGGCTCTCATATCATCATGCAGGCACAGGAAGCAAGAGAGGAACTGGAGATCTGGCAAGGCTTAAGAACTCTCTAAGCCCACCCCCAGTGACATGGTTCCTCCAGCATAACCACACCTTCTAAAGCCTCCCACAACAGCGCCACCATCTGGGGACAAAATATCCGAATACTTGGAGCCTATGGGGGACATTTTCATTCAAACCGTCACACTGACAATCCCAACCTTTGTTGGTGTGTTTAAACATGTTGCCAAGATTTAGGCCCAAGCCCAGTGACTTAAAGATGATTTTTAAGATCTCCATGTTGGGGTTAATGAGATGACTCAGAAGGTAAAGGCATGCTGCCAAACCTGATGACCTGAGTTTGATCCCAGGAATCCACTTCATATATACACATATATATGTATGTATATATGTACGTATATATATGTATATATATATGTAGTAGTCTGACTTACTACACATGAGCCAAGGGATATGCACATATGCACATGCAAATTTAATTTTCTTTTTAAAAGATCTCCATTTCTGGGCTGGAGAGATGGCTCAGTGGTTAAGAGCATTGACTGCTCTTGCAGAGGACCTGGGTTCGATTCAGCACCCACACAGCAGCTACAAACCGTCCTTAACTCCAGTTCCAGGGGAATCCAAAGCCCTCTTCTGACCTCCACGGCATTGCTCGACACGGGTACCCTCACATACATGCAGGCAATACACTCATACACATAAAATATTAAAAGATCTCCATTTCAAAGCAGGAGTCATTGTATACATTTGTAATCCCGGCACTTGGGAGGTGGAGGCAGGAGAATTAGGAATTCAAGGTCATTTTTGGATATACAGTGGGTGCAAGTCTAGCCCATGTTAGCCTTTTTGTCTCAAAAAGACAAAAGAAAAAAAAAACTATATCAAATGCAGAACTCTAAGAGGGTAGTGCTGAATCTTGCTTGTATTCCCATTAAAGTTTTGTAATAGTAAGCTGGGCTTGGTGACACACACCTTTAATCCCAGCACTCGAGAGGCAGAGGCAGGCAGATCTTTGTGAGTTTGAGGCCAGCCTGGTTTACATAGTGAGTTCCAGGCCAGCTGGAGCTACAGGGAGACCCTGTCTCAAAAAGACCAAAAACAGGGATCATCTTGTTAATGTACCAGTGTGGCCGTTTTGAGTTCCAGGTTGGATGTGTTCAAGCATGACCTATTTCTCTGTAGACATTTATCTTCATAAAGCTTGGCATTCTAACACATCTAGTGAACCAAATTGAATGCTAATATATGTTTCATCTCTTTCCTTTTAGGTAATTATTTTGATCTCTTGTATTAATGGCTGTCACAAAGTCATCACTCTCACTTTCAGTGCTTTCTACGGAGAGTGATTCTGGGGAGTTGCCCACATTTGCCTTTTTGAAGAAGGAACCATCTTCAGCCAAAACGACTCTGCCTCAGAGGGAAGAGAAGATTGTAGTGGTTGTTACCTCTGATTCTGAAGCTTCCTATCCTCCATCACCAGCATTGAAAGACCCACCACCAATCCCAGACCCAGCTGAAACTGTCACACAAACAGGGCCAGCGAGAGTGCTAAGCAGTGGAAGTGAGGATGAAGAGGTGTTTGTTCCCCTGGCTGAGAGGCTTACATTGAAGTTTTTGACACACAAGCAGCTAAGCCCTGAACACTCTAGCTCCCCACTTAAAACTGTTTGGGATCATCAAAATAATAAAAGTGCATCATGGGACTGGAAAAGGCAACCATTTCCAAAGACTTCTGATTCCCTCTGTGACACTTCAGAGAGGAGTGTGGCAGAGGACCAGGACTCTACCTTAGGCAATCTGTGCCATCAGCTTCCAGCCTGCCCAGCTATGTGTTTTGTCCAGAGCAATGACTTGGCAGAAACCAAAACAAATCCTGACATCCCCCTACCTCAGAAGAGAACCAAGCACAGTCAGAAGGTCCAGAGACGAGGCTCTCAGGGATGCCAGCAACAGAGACAAGCAGGCCGGAAGGAAAACACCCCAAGACAACAGGAAAGAAAAAAGAAAGCAACAGAGGTCAACAGGCTGAGAGCCCAGAAGCCGGAGGAATGCTTAAAACACATTGTGGTGATGCTGGATCCAGGTCCTCCTAGCCTCTGGCTTTACCCTGAGCCTAGCTGTGTGTTTCCTGGACTCCCCACTGAGCATTCCTTTCCCATCTGTTGCAGTGCTTTTACAGCTGGAAGGTGGGGGCCAGCTCCTCGGAGCATTGCAGTCCATGGAGTGCCGCTGTGTGATTGAAGCACAGGCTGTGCCTTGCAGTATCACTTGGAGGAGGACAGGGCTGGCAGAGGTATGGGTTTCTGGCTGGAAGCTTTCCTTCTCATTCATCTCTTGCAGGATCGACTTCTGTATTGCCCCTGGTTGAGATCCATTGGCGTAGCCATTACCATCCCCAAGCCTGGAGGGATGAGAAGATGTTGTTCGCATGAGCCAGAAAGGAAGTATAGAGAGGGCTACCTGCAGAGAAGCTTTGACTCATAGTAGAGGGATATAGTGTATACCAGGTGACCCTATTATGGAAGACCCAGGAAAATAAACACCTGAGTTAATTTCTTTCCCTCCAGTTCCCCACTCAGTTTCCTAGCTGGGAGCCTAGGACATGAGGATCATGTGATGTCTGTAGACACAGTCTTCTTACAGAGTGGGACAGGGGAAGATGATCTGTGTCAGATTCCTAGTTCTCTAATTGGGCTTTGGGATTGGGGAGCTGTGTTTGAATCCCAGCCTTGTGGCTTTATTGCTGGACTCTGGGCACATTATCACATGTCTTTGTGCTGCAGTAGGATGAGGCCACTGCTATATCTCTCTCCCCTGTTGGAAGGTCTGAATGAGGTAACCTGGCACTGGCACTTGGTAAACTCATAAGGATGCTCCTCCTCCAGCCTGGGCCTCCCAGGTCACTACACTTCCTGTGCCTTTTGCACCTTCTGGCTATGAATCCAGATATGCTACCTCTCTTTTCAAGAGTTTAGAAATCAAACGTTAGGATGTCTTTTGGCCATAATTTTCTCAGTAACTTAGGACAGTCACCTACACTTTTTACTTGGTGTCTTACTTTGATTTCTGTTGCTGTAATAAAACACTGACCAAAACCAACTCAGGGAGGAAAGAGTTCATCTTAGCTTATTCCCTCCATAATTGAGGGAAGTCAGGGCAGGAACTCACAGCAGGAACCTGGAGGGAGGTACTGAAACAAAGCCCATGGAGGAGCACTGCTTACTGACTTGCTCCCCTGGCGTGTGCTCTGCCTACTTTCTTGTATAACCTAGGACCACCTGCCCATGGCACCACACAGATTGGGTTGGACCCTCCCTTATCACTCAACAATCAAGAAAATGCCTCATAGATACCCACAGGCTAATCCAATAGAAAATTCCTCAATTGAAGTTTCCTCTTCCCAAATGTGTCAAGTTGATAACCATAGCCAACCATGGCTCTTGGTATTATTATGTTTGCAATACCTTAGCATCTACCTTCAGAGCCAGTCATTTTTCTTCCTTTCATTCCTCTCTTCAATACATAGAAAAAAATTGCAGTTGTTTCTTAACCCCTTTCAATTTGCTAATTTTTTTCCCTTGCTATGCTGGAATGGAACCCAGGGCCCCATGCATGCTAGGCAAATGCTTTGCCATTGAACTATGTACGTACCTAGCACCAATGTTCCTTTATTCTTTTTTTTTAAGTGTTGTTGTGTGTGTGTGTGTGTGTGTGTGTGTGTGTGTATATGCACCATGGTGCATGTATGGAGGTCAGAGGACAACTTTATGGAGTCAGTTCTCTCCTTCCACCTTTACGTGGGTTTCAGGGCTCAAATTCAGGTTGCCAGGCTTGCATGGCAGGCATCTTTACCTACTGAGCCATCTTGCTGGCCCTATCCTTATTCTGTGTCTCTGAGATGCAGTTCATCAACATTGAACAGTTGAGGGCTGGGAAGGGATAGGATCACAGGTGTTTCTTGCTGCCATGACTTTATTCAATAAAGAAAAGGGACTACACACAGGGGCATTCACCCAGAAGATCTGGGCTACTCACAGGAGCCACACTACTGACACCCCCCCCACTCCATGCTGTCTTCTGGGTCTTTGGCAGGACGGAGAGGACTGGGTGGAAGAGCCGATGATCCTGGTGTCACTCTTGGCAGAGGCTTTTATGTCCATGCTCTACAATTTAAATCAGGTATGCTGGGCCACTGGAGGGAGGGGAAGGGAGGAGAGGGACTGAGACTTGGAACTGTGGCAGCCTCTTCCAAGGGAAAAATGCCCTTTCTGCCCCTTCATGCAGGGAAGTCCAGGCAGCACTGAGAAAGAGAAAGAGACACTTCAGGGCTTCATAACAGACATTGCAGCAAGGACTGGGGGGAAAACAGTGTCACTGGTGATCGTGGACCAGGAGAAATGCTTCAGGTTTGGATGTGCCCTGAGACACAGGTGGGAAAGGGCAGCTTTTGGGCCATCAAGGGTGAGTTTATTTACCCTGACTATAGGCATTCTGTAAGCTAGTGTCCCTGTGGGTTATGCTGGTCCAGTTATCTTGCAACACATTTGCCTGGGCTCAGCTTAAATCTGCCGTCCTTTTGAGTTAGTCCTCTGTTCTAGGGCTCAGAATCCTCCAAGGAGAAGGAAATCAGGAATGGCAAGTAAAAAGGCCAAGGAGAAGCAGCAGCAGAGACAGCCCAGCAGAGAGCCCATGGTGTCCAGGGTAGACATGGAGGAGGTAAGAGCTTCCTGTGGCCTGAGTCAGGTGAGCACTCACTGGTTATCTAACCAGGTTTCCTACTGAGACTGAAGAAAAGGCATATAAGGTGAGCCCAAACTGCTTTCTATGCTTTCTGCTTTCTGCGTTGGCACTGAGGAGAGAATGGAGCCAAAAAACTGGAGTGTAGCTTAGGTGAACAGTGAGAGGATTAACTTCCAACCAGTTTCTCTCCACTGTTTAGTCCATTGTTGCTTTTGGGTTTCTAGGCATTGGTGGATCTGCAGCTACACACAGAAGCCCAGGCCCAGATTGTACACAGCTGGAAAGAGCTGGCTTACTTTGCCTGTGCAGTCACAAAGGCAGTGGCCGAAACGCCCTTCAAGTGAGTGAGCCAGCAAATCCTGCCTCCATGCCAGGTCTTGCCTTTTGCCTTGCTTCTTGCAAAGAAAATGTGCCTTTTTCCTAAATTCTGCCACCAGCCCATTGTCTTTTTTGAGGCTGACTCTAATCTCGTGCTGGAGATTTTTAGCAAGAGTCTTAAATCCCGCCCTTTATAGAGTATTTTCTTGAACTTAGTGCAAGGTTGATGCTGGTTACTATAGGCGAGACACAAGTATTCCTAGTCAGAATTTAAAACTACGAGATCTGAGACAACCCTGCTCAAGTGCTTTATTTTATACTTGAGGGAACTGAGGTTGACTTGTCTAAGCTCCCAGCAAGTGAAAACCACAAAGACTCCGAATTACCTGGTAACTCAGTCCCTTTTGCCTACTCTTAGACAATCCAACCCCCTCTCATCATCAGCCAAAGAACCTTGTACCTTCTCTCATGAAGAGGACCAGATGCTGTTGTTTTCTTTCTGTTGTTGTTCTGTTTTCAGTCTTTTCAGTGTGTGGGCATGGGTGGGGGAGGGGGGCACACAGCCTTGCTCATCTTCCACTGTGACATGGGATCTCTTTATTTGCTGCTTCATGTGCCAGGATAGCTGGCCTGAGCTTCCAGGATTCTCCTGTCGCTGCCTCTCATCTCAGTGTAGGAGGGCTGGGATTACAGATGGACCAAGGGCTTTGCCCACCAAGCCATTTCCTCTGCCCCTAGATGGAATTTTGAAGGGAATCTGCCAACAACACTATGCTTAAGAACAAAGAGACTCAAATCACTGGAGGTTCAAATTGGCTGGATATAAAAATCTACTTCCAGGTCACTGGAGAGCTCTTCAGTCTCCAGTTGAGGGGACAAATGTAGAAATGAGGAACTCAGTTCCCCAGTGGTGCCCCCTTTCCCTTTGCAGGAAGCACCGGGATCAAACCTGCTTCTCCTTCTGTGTGGAGAGCGACTGGGCTGGAGGGACGAAGGTGGACCGTGCTGGCAGGGGTCTTGCACTGGTCTGGAGGAGGCAGATTCAGCAGCTGAACCGAGTCAGTTTGGAAATGGCCAGTGCCATTGTGGATGCCTATCCCTCACCATGGCTCCTGGTAAAGGTATGCTGCTGTAGGTGATACCACCCAGTGCCCCATGGCTTCAGTAGTCCTCCAGTTTTCTTGGACAGTGTTGTTCAGTGGCCAGGAGTCCCTTGCAGATCAGCAGTGTGGGTTGGCAGGCCTGAGGAAGGTTCTTATGCCCAAATGAGCTTTCCATCCTCCTAGCTCATGGACCAGGGATGGCCATGGATGGGTGGATGGTATAGTATTAAGAGATCATTTACCACTTTCAGGCTTATCAACGGTGTTTTTCGGAGCAAGAACGCCAGAATTTGTTGGCAGACATACAGATACGCCGCGGGGAAGGTATAACATCCACCTCCCGCAAAGTTGGGCCAGAACTGTCCAGGCGGATCTACCTTCAGATGACCACAATGCAGCCAGATCTCTCCTTGGACAGTGCTGACTGATGTCCCACAGCAACAGGGATAAAAGCCTCTCCAACCTTGGAAGCTGACAGCAGTGAGGAGAGCGGGAGTACCTCCTGGGTAAAGTGTTAGGGGAGGGGCAGGTCTTCCTTTTTGTGAGTCTATGTGAACTCAGGGCAGAAGACTGAGACGTTTGCATCTACTAACAGTATTTGCTGTTCTGGTAAATCAGCTCCCTTGGACTAGTCACCCCACTCCCCAGCCCCCAGCCAGCCCTCAAAACAAAGGAGACAGTTGGACCACTCAGACACAGATTTAATAATTGTAGAAATCCAAAAGAATAAGCATCAAATCTCAAAGTCAGAGTGAACTCTTTGCCTGCAGGTTGGCTTGACTAAGCTCAGCCACTGAGCTGCCTCAACCAGCCAAGGAATTATAACTAGGCTGACTTCTATTTTCATATCATCGTATGTAATGTGTGTTTAGTTTCAATAAAGCATTTGTACCAATAGCTCTGGAGCTTGGAGGAAGACTAAAGGAATGTGTAGTGATTAAGATGTGGACCTACAAGGCAGAGCTATCTGGGGAGGAGAGAACACAGTCCTTTCTTCCAATGTCGGGACAGTTGTGAGTAGCAGACCTTCCGGAAGGGCCACTAGGACTACACTCTGAACTGTGACAGGTCCTTGTGCTCCCATGGGGGAGAGGCAAGGAGCTTGCCATTGGGAGTTTTTAGCGAATGAGCACCAAGACACCGTCATTTCTGATCCCTTCATCCAGCTGTTATGAAAAGATGAGGGAAAGGAGGCAGGAGACTGTGATAGCAGCCACGATGGACGCGCTGCCCTCACTTGTGCTAGTGTTTGGGTATGCATCACTATGCCGCTCCACCCAGTAAGTTGTTTCACTTCAGCTCCAGCTGCTTCTAATCTTTCCATCTCAGAATCTACTCTAAACCTGCTTCTTTGAAGTTGAATTTTCAGATTGCCTTTGAGGTATTTCAGCATACCAAATACTAGTGGAGCTGTAACAGTGCAGCTTTGCAGAGATCCAGCTCCATACTTTCTGGCAAACAGAGTTAATGCTATAAAGCAGGTAAGGAGCCTGGCCTGCTGCCATTTTGTGGAAGCCACTTCAGTGTGGCAGAAGTCCACAGGAGCTGCCCAAGACCCTGATGGCATGGAATCTACCTGTGAGTGATGGATCCATCTACTGTGAAACACTATACTTGAGCTGAGACAATTGTGGTGTGAGTTCTGTTCTCTCTGGCATTATGAAGGAGCCAAATGACATCAAGGAAAAGAACACTGGAGTGAACACAGGTTGTGCCTTGACTAGCTAGGGGACTGAGGGCAGGTCATGGAAGGCCTCCCTTGCTCTGCCTGCAAGTGTTACCTGGAGTGATGGCATGAGGTTTTCACAGCCAAAGATTTGGTATGGTTGCCAAAAATACTCGAATGCCTGAGGTCTTTAAGGAAATATATTACTTCATACTCCCAGTTTAAGCTGGATTTACCCAAGCATGGTGTTTGTTCCCCTAGTCCCCAGAAACACACTGCCTCCTGATCTATCCTGGTTACCCAGGAAGGAATGAAAGGGTTTATGACATACAAAAGTATAAATGTAGTGACAGCTGACCATTTAGTAGAAACAAACCTTTCCTTTACACAGCTTTGTATGGTAACTCGAAAAGGCCATGTCTTCTCTCCCCACCCCTAGCCTATTCCTTTAGGCATGCAGGTAACTCTTCCTCCCCACCTCCATTTCTCCTCATTCCACCAGGGAACCCTGACTAGGAACAAAGAAGTCCTACAAAGGGGAGATCTCAAGTACCAATTGGCGGCCATTTGATGATGGCAGGTAGGTCTGACACTAAAAAGAGGTTGTGTCCAGCAGAACCCAATTCCATAGGAATCCAAGCTCCAAGGCTGGGAGGCAGCGGTGCTGAGGACAAGCTCACTGCTGGGAGTCGGTCTGGAGAACCCACTGGAGAATCTCATGGTGGCGCAGACCCTGGACAGCATTGTCGTAGAGGGTGTTCACACTGGTACAAAGGGGCTGCTGCTGCAGCCCTGTCATCCGGCATGCAACCAGCCCACCTGCCACACACAGCAGCAGCAGCAGCAGCAACACCTTCAGCACAGCCCAGGAGCGAGTGTGTTTCCGGGGTGGTGGCTTGCGGGGGCGAGAGCCAGACTTAGATTCTAGAGGGACAAAACAAGTCGATCAGTTTGAGGCTAGCTCTACAATCAATTCAAGTCTCTTCCACGAAGATCTACACCCCTTCCTCAAGCCCTCTTTAGGAACATCTAAATGAGAGCTCTAAAAAAAAAACTTTGCTAATGGCCTAATGGGGGGGGTGGGGTGGTACATTCCTTTTATTGTAGCACTTGGGAGGCACAGGTAGAGGATATTTGGTCTACCTACAAGAGATCCAGGCCAGCTACACAGTGAGACTTAGTCTCAGCAACAACAAAAAACACTTTGCTATCTCTTTGAGGCCTCAAAGGACTACACTGGAAATTGGAATTCATTCTGAATGACTCCTGCAGCTTAGTCTCCAGGGTCCTCCATTCTCCTTGGTAATAGGGAGATGATCTGGGGCTCTCAGGATCATAGCAGGAAGGGCTCATGAGGGATATCTAGAAGGGACAGACTGCTACCCATTTGGGGAGCTGGGTCCAAATTTACTAATATCACAATGTCCCTATTATATTCATATAAACTAGGTGTGGCAGTAATCCCAGCACTTAGCCTGAAGGCCCACAATTTTGAGGGCAGTTTTTTACACAGTGAAACAGACCCAAAACAGAAAGAAAAATGCATGCAAAAAGAAAATGCCGGCACACGTGCTACCTGCTGGCTGGGCGGGGCCGTGTCCAAAAAAAAAAAGAAAATGCCTAGGAGTGCCTTATCTGGCTTCCATCGGTGTAGGGGGCTGAGAACTCAGCAGATGGTCTGAGAGTGCTAGATCTGGCCTCCACCTGGTGTAGGGGCTGAAAACTCAGCAGACCACCTGAGAGCGCCTGGATCTGGCCTCCATGTGGTGTAGATGGAATCCCACTGAAATGGGCCAACAGCCCATGGAAAACAGACAATGCAGAGACCTGAAAGCTCAGTGCCTTGCCACAATGGGAGGAAGAGCATCCTACACCTACCACCCCCTCCAAGGCTCAGGGACTTTTGCAGAAGAGATTGGCAGAAAGAATGTAAGAGCTGGAGGAGGTAGTGGAGTGTTAACTGCAAGTGTCCTCCAACCACTATGCTGGCAAACTATAGTTACACTTCCTTCCCACGCTCACCAAGGAATCGAGGTGGGAGTCAGTTACCCCTCCCACCCAATCAGTGGACCTTAGCTGCATGTGGGGGAGGAGCTAAGGATATATAAGTCGAGCATGCCATAAAGTACCTCTCTTCATTTTGTGCAGCCATCGGAAGTCATAGGATCTATATTTGAGTGTGGACTTCCCAGCATAGCTGTAAATGGGGGGGGAGAGTGCGGGGGCAGACCCACTCTTCTGTAAATAAACCCCCACCCTATGCTCTGTTAGCAAGCCCAGTAAACTAGTTAGGATTTCAAAAAAAACTGGAAAGAACAGAGCTAATGGAAACTTTCATTATTCCACCAAAGTTGACTTCACACGTTTGCAAAGCCTCCCAAGTGCTGGGATTGAGGACGTGCCACCATGCCTGGCTTTGGTCTTTGATTTCTTATCCTACTTTTCTACTCTTAAACTTCACTGTGTGTGTGTGTGTGTGTGTGTGTATATATATATATATATATATATACAC